TATATCAAAAGCTGAAAATTAATTAATTATGCAAATTAGGTAATTATATGTACTGATATTACCATACAAACTATCAGGTCTGTGCAGTGTCGTATGCCATCTATGTACCAAGTTTCCTTGAAATGTGATGATTAGTACTTGAGATATCAGTGGAAAAACCGAAAATTGACTAAGCATTATGCAAATTAGGTAATTAGTATCCACGGATTATTACCAAAAACTAATCAAAACCTAGCATTAGTTCAGAGCATCTATGTACCAAGTTTCATCAAAATCCAATAAGTGGTTGTTTAGATATCAGTGGAACAGTCATGGAACCACTAAAAAATAGCTAATTATCATGCAAATTAGGTAATTAATATGCACGGATTTTTACCAAAAATTAATCAAATCTGCGCATATGTTCAGAGCATCTATGTACCAAGTTTCATCACAATCCAATGAGTGGTTCTTTAGATATCAGTGGAACAGTCATAGAACAGCTAAAAATTAGCTAAATATCATGCAAATTAGGTAATTAACGAGCATGGATTTTTACCAAAACCTAATCAAATCTGCGCATTGGCCCAGAGCATCTATGCACCAAGTTTCATCAAAAACCGATGTATGGTTCTTGAGATAGCAGTGGAACAGTCGGACACACATACACACATACACTGTTTGTTTCGATACTGTTTGGAGAAATGGTTTATTTTACAAACTTCTGAACAGTGGTATAGACGGGAAAATTTATAATATTATTAAATATATGTACTTAAATACAAAGGCCTGCATACGATTTGGAAACAAGACTTCTTCTGTTTTTGAGACAACTAAGGGAGTAAAACAAGGCTGTGTAATCAGCCCTATGCTTTTTAACATCTATATTAATGACTTAAATGATGTATTACAGGATAGTTCAATAGACCATGTTTCACTAAATGACACTAAAATTAGGTCACTCTTCTATGCAGATGACCTAGTTTTACTTTCCACAACAAACTATGGTCTTCAAAAAGCATTAGATATTTTATCAGACTATTGTTCTAATTGGAAACTTAGTGTCAATTTACCAAAAACAAAAATTGTTATTTTCAGAAAAAGAGGTTTAAAAACACATGACAAATTCCTATATCTTGGAAATCATATCAACTGTGTTAACTCCTATAATTACTTAGGTGTTACAATGCAGTCCAATG